GGGGATTTTGCTTTTGGTTTGTTGTTGTGTTGGCGAAAATATCATTCTGTCCTGCAAATTGTTAACTCTTTTATCGTTATAATGAATTTGGCTTTGTTGCGGTATGATGGTACAATATGATCTTTACAAAGCCTTTTCTTTGTGGCAACAGGCTATGGTTTACTGGAGTTGTGAGTGCCGTAAAATGGCACTTAACTGAATAGTTTACTGTGTCAGCTTGAGGGTGTTTGTGATCCTCCTAGACTTACATGTGAAATATCTGTCACTTACGTGTACCCATGTGGATGATTATAAGGCATCGATTGAATGGCCTGCTCTTTCACTGACACTCTCTCTTTGATACTTCAATTATCTGTCACTCTGTTCCCAGCCATTTTATGGCATATAAGTTCTCTCAAATGTGGAATCAAGTACAGCTTGTCACCCTGTGATGTGTTCATCAGTCTATAGATGACGCTAACTGTAAACTTTTGGCTTTGTTGTCAGCTCAAATGATAGGCATGTTTCTATGATACCGTTTACCCACACCAGAGAACCCGCCAACTACCCACAATACCGTTTACCCTTTGTTGGTGGTTGGCAGGTGCTCTGATGTGGTTTGCTAATTCTTTCCCATCAAACATGTTTCGTCATTATCTCCCCTTCTTTTTTTTATGACCTTATGCAATTTTGAGCGCAGAAAAACCTCTACTAAACAAAAAAAAACAACAACAAAAAATGTAGCTTACCCATTCTAATGTCACTTTTTACCTGTGTCTCAACAGTGATGACCGACGGAGGAGATACGACGAACGTCCAAGGTACTCCCCAGACCGCAGGTGGGGCCGACGGCGCAGCTGGTCTCGCAGTCCTAGAAGAAATAGGTCGCCGCTGGACAGGGGACCAAGAGCAAGGTCACGGAGCCCACGTCTTAGGTGATTCTCACCTATTGGCTGATTATTATAAAGTCATGCGAGGTTTTCTTTATTCTGTAAGACTGCTGAGCCAAGAGGAATTTGGGGGTCAGACTGCTGAGTACAAAAAGAGAAGAAGCTGGGAGAATGATTGGGAAATTACGGCTTCATTTAAATGATTTAATTAACAGACTTTGTTTTGCTTCAGTGAAGTCAATGGAGTTTTAATTTGCTTTTGGTTTTTTGTAGGAAGTATTGAAATTAGCACTTTTTTCCTGTCTTGCCATCTTTGATTTTTCTTTTTTGTAGTTTGAGACATCTTGTGTAAGGGATATGTGTATAACTTCACCATACGTCTTCTCTCTTCAGGTCCCGCAGTCCTCGACTGGATCGGTATAGGTCATTTAGGTCTAGATCCAGGTCAAGGTCACCTCGTCCAGCAAGGTCATGGAGTAGACCACCCAGTGCCAATCGCTTCAGATCCCGCTCTCCATCGAATAGTAAGTTTCATGTTTTGGTTTTCCAGAATTTTCTGGTAACTGGAACCAGTTAATGCTTCCCCTTGTAATTTTTTCTGTTTCCGTTCTTTCTCTCCTATTGCTTATGCAGTTGCCTTTTTCTTTTTTAAAAATAATTCCTTTTCTTTTTCATATTACAGCTTCCAATATCTGGGATATCATTTTTGCTTTTTGCATCTGCTGCTTTGGACAATACAGGGTCTTTATTTTTAGCTGACTTCAATTTATGTTACTTTTATATATACTTGCATGTGGTTGTGAAAAAAAAAATGAATGTCTACATGCAGCTTGATCAAATACAACAAAGTGTTCTAATTAAAGGCAAACTTCACATCTTCACTCATTTACTTTCTTAAAACATGTTTGTATTATTTAGCCATCTGTCTGTGACCATGGCCAGCATAACAGTTTGTGGGTTTTTTTTAGGGGAGGGGTTTTCAACGTTCATGGAAGACTCAGATGAGGCTGGGAGTGAATTTGGGACAATTTTGGTCAAATTATCAAGTTCAATGTCGTAACTCAATTTGCCCATCAGTAAATGTTACTCTACAGATGAGTTGGTGTACGAGATAGTTAAGTTTCTTTTGGATAATATCAATCTGTCAAATGGTCAAAATAATTTTGAAGTCCGGGGGATTGGGAAAAATATAGTTAAATGTGTAGACACTAGGTCAGCTTTGTAATGCAGTTTCTATATTTATAATGAAGCATTAAATTCTTCTGTGTTGTTTTGATGCGTAATGGCTGTTCCTGTTTGATTGTGGGAACATTTAATAAGTTTATGACTGTCTCATTCACAACAGTTGTGAGGAATGGACATTCCCTCTTTCAGTTTATTTTAAGTGTTATGGCTGTCTTTAGGTTTGTAAAAGTCTTTTTTTTTAAGTACAGTTTTAAATTTTGTCTTTGTTATTTTGCTGAAATTTCATACTTAGAAAATTTATTTTTGGAGGTAGCTGTTATTCCTTCTTTTTATTTCATAATTATCAATCATGAATATGCTTTCTGTTGCCCTTTTTAGTTAAAGTAAATACTTAAAAAGAGGAAGCAAAGATTAAAAAATGCATAACTTCTATGTAAAAACTCCAGGCAGTCAGCTAATTTTGTTTTGATTTTACTGAACTCTCAGTCTCCATTATCAGGTGCTTGTTTTTCCAGTGCTTTTATAGCTTTGCTTGCTTCATGCATTACTTTTACTTTGTGAATTCTTTTGTCTTTTTGTCTATTGCTTTCTTTCTTATGTACAATTTTTGTTCCCCTTTTTCATAATAACCATGTTAAAAGTAAGTGGTTAGCGGGTGCTCTGGTGTGGTTTGCTTCTCCTTTCCTATCAAACATCTATCGTCCTTATCTCCCCCTTTTCTTTTTTATGTTTGTTACTCTCTTGTAACACCTCTAGTCTTCTGGCGCTCATATGACCTTATGCAGTGCGAGCGCCGTAAAACCTCTACTAAAACTAAACCCTTTAAAAGTGAGCAGTGTCTCTGACGTGCCTCCATCTTGTCCCCACGCTTTGTTCAGTCCGCCAGCCAGACAGCCGAGGCTCCACGCCCACTCAGGACAACGACTACTCCACCCTCATCTCCTCCTCCACCAATGACCTGCCTGCTGTCACCAGCACCGTTGGTTTGCGGCCGGTCGGGGAGGACGGCCGGATGGTTCCGGTCGTCGACGACGCCAGGCGCCCTCCGCCTTCTGTCACAGTTGGTGGCAAGGCAAGGTGTCAGGACTTTGAAGGTGACTGTCGATTGGGTTTTTTTGGGGGGTTTTTTTTCTTTCTTTCTTTCTTTCTTTTCTTTTCTTTTCTAAATGAGGGCGCATGTAAAGGTCACCTTTCTTGAAGTGGGCTTACGGAAAAATGTTCAAATATCCAGATTTGTCGCAAAAGGTTTAAACAGAATTACGCGACAGCAGTCTCCTTGTCTGTCGTATCATTTTTATTTTCATTGCACAACAAGCAGCTTTCAGTACATAGATTCTATCTGATGAACTACAATGACTTTCTTTTTTTATGTCACATTTTTTATCACTCTCTGTCTCTGTCTTGTGGTCACATGTCTTTTCTGTGTGTTGTGAGTTGCTTTCCTGGAAAAGATTCCCTCAAAGCATTTTTTTGGACTGTCGCATCTTTCAGAGAAAGGCTACTGTGTCCTTGGGGACGTGTGCCCGTACGATCACGGCTCTGACCCAGTGGTGGTGGAAGATGTCTCCATCCCTGGTACCCTGCCCGTCTCAACTGCCTCTGGTAATCTTTGGTGTTGCTCTCTTTTTTTTGTGTCTGGCTACGGTGTCCTTCATGTTGGGTGGTGGTAGCATGGCTCGTGAAAGGTTGAGGCATGTTGCGATGGTGTTCTTTTTCAGATTTTAGTTGTGGAGTTGTTGGGTTTTTTTTTTTTTGTGCTCTCTGGATTTCTTGCTCAATACTATCACACTCTGGGTATTGCAAGGTATTGCCTACAATCTTTCGTGAACAGTAAAATTTAGCAGAAAGTTTTTTCTCCATGGAACCAGGAGAATTCTTGAAAGTATTGTTGTCTCGAATAGGGACAGTTTGAAACAGTTATTTTTTGTGTAAGATCAAAAATAATCACCCAAATTTCTTTTTTGTCACTCTCTTGGTATTAACGCGTGTGACTTTTCATCTGTGGTATTAAATATCAAGTTCAGGCTGTTGTGTAAATCTTACTAGGAAGGCCACAACATTTGATCAATGTTAGAAGTGGTTCTTGCAATATTCAAATATACATGTACTTTGATTTACTCTCATGATAAACTGTAGACTGGTGTGGATTGCTCCCCCTTACTTATCAAACGTCTGTTATTTCCTTTCTCTCCTCCTTTTCTGTGTATGTTACTCTCTCGTAACACCTCTAGTCTTTGGCACATTTGATCCATTTGTGTTACAAGTGCCGTAAAGCTCTTACGAAAACTAAACTGATGTGGTTGTCAATGTATGTTTTGTAAAGGAACAATATATTTATTCTCATTGTTGTCAACAGTTTATTTGTTTTCCAAATTCTTATATAAAGTGTGTGTTTTATAAAGAACTCGTAAAGTTGAAACACTTTTTTTTGGCGTGTTTTAGCAAGTAGCCTTGCCCATGCTCATTAGTGCTCATGAATGTGTCTAAATGCAAATAGGATCTAATAAGGAACAATTGGGAGGGGGGGGGGGGGTTCTTAGGAGCTTGGACTAAGCTGTTTAAACTATTTTCTAAGAGATAATCAAATGCCTCTGACATGGTCCAGGACGCTATATTTGATCAGATGGACTCCCTGACTGTGGACTACTTTGAGGAATGGGATAATGCTGGGGTCACCAAACTTTTCCAAAAGCTCTGGATGTGGGAGAATGCTGACGGGGGGGGGGGGGGGGGGGGGGCTGGATAAATGGTTTGCTTCAGTACAATACACTGAATACAAAGCAAATCAATTAATTGATTTAATAAATAGAATAAAGCTCACCAACTTATTGATTTATCAAACACTTAATACAAAAAAACACAAAAAATAAGTGGAATCTGTGTGTGTGTGTGGGGGTGAGGAGGGACAGACAGGGTGTCCCTTTTTGCTGGAGGAAATGTGTTTAAAACAAAGATTTGTTTCATTAAAGTAGAGAGAGAAAGATTGAGATATATTAGCCAGAAGTTATGAAGTTGATAAAAACACGTTTAATTTGCACCGCTAAATTCAATGTAATAATTGAATCATTTTGGTGGCTCTCACTCCTGAACACACTGCAGACAGAATCTTTCAAGTTTGTTTCCCCCCAGTTTGGCAGCAGGCCGGATCTTGCTTTTGGGACATTTTCTTTGGTGATCCCTGGGGTGGGTAGTGTTTATATTTCAGTATTGGTAAATAGATGTTGGTAGCTTAAAATAATTAGAGAAAGTCTGCTGTTTGAAGCCCAGACGTTATATTTATGGAGTGAGGATGGTGAGTGAACATCTCTGCTTGGTGTCTCCTCCCCCCCCCCCCCTCCCCCTTACAGGTGCTTCTGCTCCCCCGGGCGGCCCTGGCTTTGTGCCCCCCGACCTGCGAGTGCCCCCTCCAGGCCACCTCGGTATGCGCATCAATATCCGCGGGGCGCCCCCACCACACGGTACTGTGGAGAGAGTGGACGCTTGAGTCTACTGTATCTCTTCCGCGACCTCAGTGCTTTCTTGTCATATATATCTCTCCATTTTTTTTAAACAGTGAAAATGTCACATCTTCTTTTAAGCTCACTTTTTGTTATGAACTGTTTTCACTGTTATTTAAAATGGAGATACAACAAGAAAGCACTTGGGTCACGCTGTACTTATTACTATGCTTTTATTTGTTTGTCTGTTCCCCGTTATCTCTGGACTTGTTGGTCTCAGGGGCTGTGTCTTCCACTGTTGGGTGTGAGCGCGCTTTCTTTTATACTTTTGGTGGTGGCCAGCTTTGATCCTGTGGGTCTACATTTTAGTTTGATCAGTTGTTTTTTTTTCAGTTTTTTTTTTTTTAATGATGTGTTGCTTTGACTCAGTTGTTATACTTTTAGGCCTTCAAGTCATTACTTTTTTTTTTTTTTTTGAACTTCACGGTGACATTAAAGATGGTTCCAGTAGGGAACGGGATAGCGGGTGCCCACATCCCTCGTGACTCATCAGAGCAGAGGAAGATAGGACTAACGCTAACATTATTTTTTAAAAAACAACAACAATCAAATAACAGAAGCATGTTTTCTTATAATTATAAACGTAAGCGCCATCCCACATCATCACTTATCACCACCATCACCGTCATTTCTAAAGTCTTCATTGCTCTCAGATCCTTCACAAACATCTATAATTATCTTAAATATATATATGTAGCAGTTATATGTCATAACATCTTTGTACGTTATACATTAAAGGGCACTCTCATACGCACATTTTTCTACTAATCAGATGGCGTCAATGTCCTAGACATGGGCAAGGGACAACACAAAAAAAGTCATTACTTTTAAAAGAACAGAGTTTTACGTTTTTTTTGTTTTTAAAAAAGTCTTATGTGGTCTTGCTTTGAATTGTCATTTCTGAAATAATCTTTATCGCCCTGTGGTTAATGCACAAGTTCTTTAGTCCCGTGTTTTGAGACAAAGAAACGGTAGTTTCTTTCTGTATTCTGCTCATAGGTTAGATAGTTGGTTTTAAAAAAAAAAAAAGCTATTCTCTTTTAAAAATCTAATTAATGATTATCAAAGTTTTCACGTTGCTGGGTTTTTTAATCATCCTGTGGGGAATTTGAAATGTTAATAATGTTTTGCCCTCAAAATACCTTAACATAGACTAACAAGACAAGAAAAGAAATGACAAATGAACAAATGAATAGATTAAATAATGATCATTTCCATTTATCCTCTAAACAAAAAATACCAAATTCTCACGGTCAATTCAGGGTTACTCAGGTATGCGTAAATGATATTTTCTTTTGATATTCCTCTATTTCTTTCCCTACCTTTTCCCCTTGATCTAGAAACTAAGCCTAGAGCTTATTCCTATTGTGCTTATTCCTATTGTTACGCTCTCTTCTGGTTGCTCTGATGGCTGAACAAAGCTCATGGAAAGGATAGGTCCCTGAGACCCCATTGTGCAGTCTACCTTGGATAGACCTTCTTTTGTACAGTATGACATGAAATCCATCCTTGAAAGATCAACAGTGAGTGGTTGACGGGTGCTCTGGTGTGGTTCGCTCCTTCTTTCTTATGAAAGAGCTATCGTCCTTATCTCTCTTTCTTCTTTTTTGCGTATGTTACTCTCTTGTCACTTCTCTAGTCTTAGGCACTTATATGACTTTATTGTGTTACGAGTGCCGTAAAACTCTTAGTTAAACTAAAATAAGATCAACAGGTTTGTGAATAGTATTTTTAACAGCCTTATTCAATAAATTTGTGTTTCAGTTGAGCCATACATGCCTGAGGCCCCGGGCTTACAGGGACCCCCGAGACCTCCCTTCCTGCGTGGTCCGGTGCCTGACCTCCGCCACCCTCCCCCGGGGATGATCCTGAACCGTCCGCCTCCACCTGACCAGTTCTTCCCCCAGAGGAGAGAGGTCGTCTTAAATAATCGCCTTGAGCCTGCTCTTGAAGAAGGTGTGTTGTAGATGACTGAGCTTTATGGATGATATATGCCCCTGGCCTCTAAACTTAACTGTTCGTTGCCTCAGAATTGTTTTGTCAAGTGCACTTAACTGTAGAGTGCACTTTGAACAAAATAGTTTTGAAGGGTCAAATTGTCATTTCTCAGTTGAAGCTGAATAATATATAACTGATATTAGCTGATAATATATAATTCAATTGCTACCACAACAATGTTAGAAGGTTCGATGTAAGTCTTTTATTTTGAAATTTACAAGTTAATCAGCCCATAGTGTAGTATTAGTTTCTTGTTCAACTGTCCATGAATACTAATATTGAGGAGCTTTCAGATCTGTATGTACACCCGTATAGTTGTCTCTACAATATCTAAGTGGAAAACAGACTGGTGTGAATCTGCTTGTGAAATGAAGAATAAATCTTTAAAAAACCCAACTTCTAAACCTTTTTAGGTGCATTTGAGCAAAGTCCTCTCATTGTGTGCATTGAGTAGTGGTACTTATTCTTAGAGCTTATTTACTGCCGGTTAAGATATTTATTATCTTGCGGTATCTTGTATTTTTTTGGTTTATCTTTTTGTGTCGAGTTCATTCTCTTGAGACCGTGCCTCTAGTCAGGTATAGTATACATTTTACGGGAGGGGGGTAGGGAGTTTTTTTGGGTTTTTTTTGTTCCCCTGATTTTTCAATCATACCTCTCCTGTGAACAGATCTGCTGGACACCCTGGCCTCAGAGAAGGAGCCGTCGCGCATCGTGATCCCAGCCAAGAGGCCGTACAGCGCCATCGACAACGACCCGAGCTCCGTCCACCTGGGCCCCCCTCCCCCCCGCATGGCCCACGTGAACCAGCACCACCACATGTTTGCTGGCCCCCCGCCCCCCATGGTGCAGAAACCACCCATGCTGCAGCAGCCTCTGCCCGTCCCTCTAGGGCCCCCGCCCATGAAGAGAGGCTTTGACTTCAACAGGCTAGGAAGTGAGTGGGGGACGGAATTTTGGTCGTTTGTTGTTTTGGTTTTGGTTGTTTGTTTGTTGGTTGTTTTTTTTTTGTGAGGTTTTTTTATGGTGGGGATGGGGGGGAAGATGTTTCAGTCGTCCATTTGATTTAATTACATCATTTTGAAGACAAAAAGTGGGTGGTTGGAGGGTACTGTGGTGTGGTTTGCTCCTTTTTTCCTATCAAACATCTATCGTCGGTATCTCTCCTCCTACTTTTTTGTGTTTGTTACTCTCTTGTGACACCCCTAATCTTTGGCACTTATATGACCTTATTATGTTGCAAGTTCCGTAAAACTCTTACGAAAATGAAGACAAAAAACCCCCCTCTAGGCTTGGTTTTTAGATCAAGGGGAAATGGTAGTGAAAGTTATAGAGGAGATATCGAAAGTAAATATCTTTTACACATTCCCGAGTAACCCCAAATTGACCTTTAGAATTTGGTAGTTTTTGTTTAGGGGATAAATTGCAATTTTGATTTAATCTATTCCTTTGTTTGTCATTGTATTTCTTGTCTTGTTCGTCCTTGTCAAAGTATTTGGAAGGCAAAGTATTGTATGTTGGGTTTTTCTTTCCTCTACCGTTGATCTGAATTAAAATCTTTTATAATTTAGTGTTTGGCAAAAGATGTCGACTTACATTTGCTTACAATGCTCATGGTGCAGATCTGTTTCTCAAATCTGAATCTGTTTTCATGCATCTATATTTATCCCTTTTCCAAATTGTGTGAATTGTGTTTCATTTTATACAAATCCATTTGTGTAATGTTAGGGAAGTTATCGCACAAGTTTCTCAAGTGGGTGGTTGGCGGGTGCTCTGATGTGGTTTGCTCCTTCTTTCCTATCAAACATCTATCGTCCTTATCTCCCATTCTTTTTTATGTTTGTTCCTCTCTTGTAACACCTCTAATCTTCTGGCGCTCATATGACCTTATGCAGTTGCGAGCGCCGTAAAACCTCTATTAAAACTAAAACTAAAGTTATGGCACTCATGGTAATCCCAAAGTTTTAGATGCCCAGCAACATTAGTCCAGCGGAATTACATAAGATTTTCTTTATCCATGGTAGATCGTGGTGGCTTCAGACCTCAAGGTCCCCGTCAGCCTTTCAAAACCGGCAATCTCACGTTGGAAGTCCGGAAGATTCCCGCTGAGATGAACAACATTGCCAAACTCAACGAGCACTTCGGCAAGTTCGGAACGCTCACAAATATACAGGTATGTATGTGTGCGCATTTTCTCAGTAGCTTTAATCTCTGTTTTTGGTTTTTGAATCAGTGAAAGTGATGTTTGATCACCAATTTGAGAAAGGCATGAAGCTCTTTTGTGTTAATTTTTTATTTTGGTGTAATCTTTTTCATTTTATGCTATGTATGATTTTATTGGATGTTACTACATTATTGTCTTGAGCCTCAAATAAGCTGAAGTCAACAACGCCTGTAGCTCTTTATTGTCATATTTAAATTATTGTCAACCGTCACCAGGTTTCTGCCAAGTTAACATAATGGTTGTCGCTAATTAGAAATGGAATGTAAGAGTTGTAAAAGGCTTGTTCCTTGAAAAAAAATGATTTTGTATGTGTCACGACGCAGTGGGACAGTGCCTGAACTGCAACAGGGAACTCATATGGTCTTATGCAGTTGTGAGCGCCGTAAAACGTTGCTGTGGATGGTTGGCGGGTGCTCTGGTGTGTTTTGTTTCTTTTTTGCTGTCTAACATCGATCGTCCTCTTCTCTCCTCCTTTTTTTTGTGTTTGTTACTCTCTTGTAACACCTCTAATCTTCGGCACTTATATGACCTTATTGCGTTGCAAGTGCCGTAAAACTCCTACTAGGACTTAAAAAACCCACTATATATAGCCTTTCTGTAAGCGTGACGTTTGACGTAATGTGCAGGTGAAGTATCAGGGTGACACGGGAGCTGCCCTCATCTCTTTCTCCAACAATGGCGAGGCCACTGCAGCGTACCGCAGCCCCGAGCCCGTGTTCAACAACCGCTTCATCAAGCTCTTCTGGCACAACCCGGAGCGCGCCGCCGAGTTTGACATGGAAAAGGAAGTGGGCGGCGCTGGTGGGGCTAAGGAAGCTCGTGACGTACTCATGCAGTCGACGACGCGCACAGGGGGCCGTGTTGGGGATGGGGTGAGTCGGATTGCTGTTTCCTTTCTGTGTGTTGCGTCAGA